GGCTCATACTGCGCGGAACTGCTCATATACCAAGATACCATTGATACCATCTGTCAGCTGTCAAGCGCAGGAAAGGGTAAACGCCCGACATGCGCAAAGTATGATTCCCAGCCTGCCGACGTCGGCATGGCGCTCGACTCAGAGACACCGTAAGGGTGTGCAAGGAGGGACCCTTCCTGTACACCTAAGTCCTAAGTAGCCCCTAAATAACCCCTAAATGACCCTTAAGGTCCCTTGCAAGGGTCCCTCCTTTAGTTTTTTTGAACTGAGGAGCCACAGCAGCTACGAAGTCGAGCGCTTCCTCGGGCTGTTCTACCTTCGGTCTCCTTCACACCCCTCTGACAGCGTCGGAACTCAAGTCAGGAGCCGAAATCTTGATTAGCTATGATGCTTTTGACTTGCATTCTTCCTCTGTTCTTCTCACAATTGCTAGGCATCGGGGCTACGACTACTGGTGATGACTATGATAGGCACTACTTCAGTATGCTTAGCCCTTGTTCATTTTCAGAGTGTTTCGTCTTTAGTATATGTCTTGCTATTATGATGCTCATTCTGCGCACCGGTCTCAATGCCCATGTTTCTGTTTTCAGTGACTCAGCATTGGCGGCCAGGCCCTACGGTGGCATCGCTAAGTCAGGAAGCATTTTCAAGCTGCTTCTTAGTAGGAAATGAGGGAATGAAGTGCCTAGTATGTACTCCCTGTATATATACAGAAAGTGCCCTAATTCCCTCATTCTCTACTAAGAACCAAGGGGGCTTGCTGTATGCCAGCATTAGCTGCAGCTGCCCAAGGTACAGTCTTGGAACATCTCCGAGCGGAGGAGTAGGCATGCAGAGGAAAAACTACTCCGGCCCAAATGGTTTAACCATCATCAGGCTCCGACCTCTGCAAGAACATAGCACTTCATAAAACCCACGCTCTGATTTCAAAACCGCACCGATATCATTGGGTTGTAGACAGCATCCTCCTCTTCCCATTCTCCCTGCGCCAATATACCGGCATGGTAAGAGCACATGGAACTGCTGCGGACCAAAAACTCTTGCATCTGCGCAAATCGTATCTAGGCAAGGGTCCGTACTGGCTTGGTGTTGCTGAAAATGCGGGGGGTTGGGGTGGCCCGGTGCGGCGAAAAACTTGGTCAATGTTGCCAAGCCAGCCTAAGGGGACTGAAGTTAAGAAGGGGATTTCGACGATTTCAGCAGTGCTTACACAAGGAAAACGTTTTCGGGCAGCCAAGTTTGCGCCTCTTCCAACGCCCGCATCAAAGACTCTGGCGCATGCACCTGCACGACAATCGAAAGTTGACCCAACATACCATGGGTTGTTTAGGGTATAGGGTATAGGGTTTAGGGTTTAGGGCTTAGGGTTCCCCTATACTACCCCCGCCTAGATCCCGATAAGTAGGGGAACCCGAACATACCAAATCATCCGACATCCAAACCGCACAACAACCTGAGCGCAGGAGACTCGACTTTTTTGCACAAAGCTGCCGCCCAAAGCGATTCGAGAAGGCAAGCGGCAAAGCCTGAGCCCCTTGCCAAACCCTGAGACCCGTAGAAACTGAAAACTTAATTCGGAAGAGTGAACCCCTGCAACCCCAAAGCCACGCAGCCCCTCACCTCGAAAACCCTAGATCCCAAATTTGCCCACACGCGCCGCACCTGCATCGCCAGGTCTCGGCAAGTCATCCCGCGGGAATTGCGTAGCTTGACGCGCGCTCCTACCGTTTAGGAGGTTTTGCAGCTTTCGCTTAACGCATAATGGTCTCCCTCTCATGAGAGGGTATTCACCCTCCACCAAAATGGCCCTGATGATATCTAAGTGTATATACTCACAATGTGCCATTAGTGGCCATTAAACATTCGCGGGGGGGAGGGGGGGGGGGGGGGGGGGGGGGTGGGGATTGCAGCTGCGACAGTTGTGATCCCAAATTTTCGGGGTATTCAGCTTGATCCCAGCGCCCTACGTGCCGGAGTACTATAGACTATGAGTCTTCATAATTCCCTAGCAAGAAGAATGCTGCCCTTTTTGGTTTAAAGGGGGGGCTTACAAGGGAACCTAAACCGAAAAGATGGAAGAAGGGGCCCAGACAATATCTTTTTGGGCGGGACTAAGTGTGGGGAGGGGGGGGGAGGGGGGAAGGGAGGGGGTGGGGGGGGGGGGAGGGGGGAGGGGTGGGACGGGGGGGGGGGGGGAGGGGGGGAGGGGGGGGAGGGGGGGAGGGGGGGGAGGGGGGGGGGAGAGAGGAGGGAGGGGGGGGGGGGGGGAGGGGGGGGGAGGGGGGGGGAGGGGGGGGGAGGGGGGGGGGGGGAGGGGGAGGGGGGGGAGAGGGGGGGAGGGGGGGGAGGAGGGGGAGGGGGGCTTTTTCTTTTCTTTTTTGTTTTTTTTTTGGGGGGGGGGTAGGATTGTCGTACGTAAACATTTGGTGAATACTAGGTACTAGGGGGGCGCTACATTTTGGGAAGTACCCATGTGTGGTTTACGGACCTCCGAATTCTTATGTCCCCAGCTCTTAAGTTGAAGTCCCGGCACGCAATAGTGCAACGGCCCAACCGCAAGGGTATGCTAGTGATCAGTGTTCACACGTTTTATCGTCACAGCCCGAAGAGCTTACTCCATGAAGCTCTTCGGCTTGTGATGAAGACAACTGGCATGTTGGCCTTCGCCCCCTTCGAGTTGCGACACGAAATGTGGCCCCCTCCGAGTCTGCAACTGCGGATCCTGACTAGCCTGACAAGCATGCCGAGATTCAACAGAGAGAAGACAAGGACGCGGGATGCAGCCCAGCTCCCTCTGAGAAGCATCAGGGTTTAGGGTTTGGGGTTTGGGGTTTGGGGTTTAGGGTTTAGGGTTTAGGGTTTAGGGTTTAGGGTTTAGGGTTTGGGGTTTAGGGTTTAAGGTTTAGGGCAATCACCTGGAGGGCGAACCTCCCGCTGCAACAGGGCAAGCCGCGTAGCCGAACCCGCCGTGCAACTTGCTCTGAGAGTTTCCTGCGGCTCCTTTTCTCACAGGGGAATTCCTCCCTTTTGGAGTCCATGTCCTCCCTCTTGCTAGACTTCTGGCCTCGCTCGAGCCTCCTGATAATGCGCATCCTCTTCTCAGGCTACCGGACAGCCCAGGCGGGGGCACGACCTCGGTCAATCCCACACTCCGGACCCACTCACCGACGGAGGCTCCTCCCCAGTTGTGCAGGCTTCCTGGAGTTCAGGCACCTCCTCCAGCCCACCGAGAAGCACCCAGCATATGGTTCAAGCTGAGCGTATTCCAGGGCCCCAACACCAAGTGTCCCCAGCACGCAGCCCTGAGCGACCCTCATGGCGGGCACAAAAAAGATCGACTTCAGAGCAAGTACTAACGAACCGGCCCGCATGATGCTTCACACTAAACATCGTCACGAACGTCAGAACTCGAAATTTTCACTCAACTCCAAGTGAGTCTCAGACATCTTGTTTTGCCAAACCGAATTTTAAGTCCTAGACCACAGCCCAAGCCTGCGGCGAGCAGGATGTAGGCGGCCCCGAAGGACCCGCAGAGGATGCTGAACATCAGGGGCGTGGCGCCACGGTGATGGTACGCGAGCAGGCCTAGGCTCTCGACCTCTTTCTCTTTAATTTGGGGGGGAATGTTCAACACTGCCGGACAGTGCAACACACTCCAGAAACGAGGTTTGAGCACGCGCGCCCGCCGCGCTCGCCGCGCCCACCACGCCCGCCGCACCCGCCGCCGGCCGCGCCCCCATGCGCAAAACGCGCCCCATGCGCCCGCCGCGCCCGCCGCGCCCGCCGCGCCACCACAGCCAGCCGCGCCCGTCGATGGATCTGCCACTGATCCAAACACTCTGCCCGCACCCGTCCATGACGTTCTGACCATGCCCGCCACCGCCACCACACCCTGCATGTCCGTTCGGTCTGCCTGCAAGGCCCGCGTGGCGCCCGCCAGGCCGCCGCGCTCGCCACGCCCAGCGCAGCCCCCACTGCAGCATCCACGGAAAGGGGCGGGGGGCGGGGGGCTGTATAGATCTGCATAGAGTTGGTGGGGGGATCCTTTGATAAACCTCCCCAAGCAAGTCCATTCTTATAAGCCTAAACCAGATTGAGGTATTTTGGGGTGTCTTCCTTACATATGGACCCCAAACGTTCCAATATTTCGGAGAACCCCAACCCTAAACCCTAAACCCTAAACCCTAAACCCTAAACCCTAAACCCTAAACCCTAAACCCTAAACCCTAAACCCTAAACCCTAAACCCTAAACCCCCCCCCTAAACCCTAAACCACATCAAGGCCATGCGGCTGAGTCGGGACTTGCTTGTACTCCGCCGGAGCAGGGCGAACCTGGCCACTCCCAGGCTCAGGGCTTAGGGCTTAGGGCGTTGGTGTTTAGGGTTTAGGGTTTAGGGTTTAGGGTTTAGGGTTTAGGGTTTAGGGTTTAGGGTTTAGGGTTTAGGGTTTAGGGTTTAGGGTTTAGGGTTTAGGGTTTAGGGTTTAGGGTTTAGGGTTTAGGGTTTAGGGTTCAGGGTGTAGGGTTTAGGGCTTAGGGTTAGGGTTTAGGGTTTAGGGGCTTGGGGGCTTCGGGCCGTTTAGAAGGGTCGAGGGGGCTTCGGGGCGTAAACTCTTAGGGCCTGCAGCTCTCAGGTGCTGGAAGCTTGTAGCAGCGCATCGGCTCAGGATTGCGCTCAAGCGCCAGCGGATCACTGGGTTCAACTCACCCGACCTTCGGCCCCGAAGCCAGCTTCCAAAGCTTCAACCTACGGCCGAATTTTGCCTCCACCTCAGAATAGATGCCAAAGCCGACAAACCGAAGTGCCCGAAAGATGCGTGGCCGGAGCACCTGAAGAGCATCCACATGGACGGGCGCTCTGTCACGCGAAGCTGGAAGGGTTCGTTCACGTCCGCTCCGGCCTCCCGCTGGCTCTTTCCGGCCGAACCGGCTTGATGCCTTTAGGGTGCAAGACTTTGCTGGTTGAATACTGAGCCTGCCTTGACCAAGGCAGCTACGACATCAGGCGATCCTCCAGTACAGGCTATCTCGCAAACTACGCTCGACCTTGCATTTTGCACAGCAAAAAAAGAGGTGGCTGAAGTGCTGCGCCATCGCTCTTGTTGCTTTTACTATTCGATGTTGCTGTGCAGTCGGTTACGTGTCAAAGACACGTCACACGAAGCAGAGCAAAACAAAAACATTCGGTAGGGTCGAGCGTGCTCTGTTTTGCTGTGTGCTGTGCAGTCGCTCGTGTCTGTAATGTCTGTAAGGCGCCCGCAAATGCGCTAAGTAACTGCAGGCAAAAAACCCGCGCGGTAGGGTCATGTTTTTTGCTGTACGGCCGCTCGTGACTGCGAGAGAAGGCGCCTGTTACGGGACCGTAGGACCGCAGAGGAAAATAAACGTCCGGTACTAGGTATTCGTCTTTCTCTTTTCTTTGCGGTCGCTCAGGTCTGGGAAAGTCCCGAAAAAAGGCGCCGCGCGACCGCAGAGCACACGCCCGGTAGGGTCAAGTGCTTCTTTCTCTGCAGTCGCGCGTGGCCACGCAGGGCCCGCTTTCCTTTTGGCTGTGCGGCTACGGGGGACTCACTTCCGTCTGGACTCGGGGCTGGGTTCAAATATCCCAGAGGGCGGCGACTGCACGGCAAAAGCGAAAACCGTCCGTTTGCCACACATGTACCCTGCGTGCGACGGCACCGAAAAAACCAAAACAGAGGCTTTGTTTTCGCTGCGTGGTCGCGGGCCCGGCACGCTCTCGTCCTCGGCCGGGCGGGCGACCACCCACACCGAAACAAACAACATGTCCGCGGGTTTGCCACACTTTACATAATCCCATCGCACGACTGCACACGGGTTCCGGCAAAGGTCGCATATGGCAAAGGTCGCGTACGGCGAAGGTCGAACGTGCAAACGCATCCCGCGCTCAGTGTCTCTCCAACCCTCCAAGAGCTGTCATCAAGCTGTTATCGAACGTCCTCGCACAAGGAAGGCGAAGTGCAGGCAATACCTGCCATCACGCTCACTAACCTCTGCACCACCTTTTGTCTATCCACCCAAAACAACAGCTCGAATCAGGCCAGCTGCCTCAAGCTGAGGTTGGGTGCCTGCGGAGTGCATGGACAATCATGGGCACTGCCCTAGCGCGCCCCTAATGATCATGAGGCAGAGGTTCATGTCGGCCCATTACGGCGAATCTTTGGCCCGTGCCTGAAGAAGTAACTCCTGCAGCGCTGCCACGGCCCCTTCGCAGCAAGCTACGTGGAGCGGCTTCATTTGTGGGAAGGCCTGGCGGCTTCGAGGAGCTTTGAGTTTTAGGCTTTCAGGTTTCGGCAACCCTAAACCCTAAACCCTAAACCTAAACCCTAAACCCTAAACCCTAAACCGACTCTGTGCCTCCAGGGTGATGTCTGCACCACCCTGGCAAAGGAGGCGGAGCCCCTCCGCATTGTCTGAGACGCAGGACCAGTAGCCCCCAGGGCGTTCCGGCCGTTCCTTGACTTCACGCTCCCAACTATTCCACACCAGGGGTTTAGGGTTTAGGGTTTAGGGTTTAGGGTTTAGGGTTTAGGGTTTAGGGTTTAGGGTTTAGGGTTTAGGGTTTAGGGTTTAGGGTTTAGGGTTTAGGGTTTAGGGTTTAGGGGTTTGGGCGGTTCAGGGCCTCGGTTGCTCTGCCCAGGCTCGGATCTGCCCGGCCGGCCAGGAGCAAGGAAAGCGCTTCGTTTCTCTTGTAGCACGTGGCGATGGAGAGCACCGGCATGTGCTTCGGGAAGAGGGCCTGCATGCCCACGATAACCGAAACACAACAGCCCAGAGTTCTTTAGCTCTGAACGCCGACCTTTGGCAACTCATCCCTACTCATCCCTACTCATCCCTACTCATCCCTACTCATCCCTACTCATCCCTACTCATCCCTACTCATCCCTACCTCTCCTACTTGTCCTACTCCTGGCTTTGTAAGCCAAATGCTTGAACAGCACCGAACCACCACAAACCCGAAGAGCCCTACGTAACCCTCAGAGCCCTAGACAGCCCCAAGGCTGCAATATAGGGGTCGGAAAAATTACTGATGGTGTTCCCTGATGGTCCCTATATAACTATACAGTAATAGCCCCCCAAAACCTTTTTCGAATTATTTAGGCCCCTACCGTACTCCTAAGCCCTAAGCCCTAAGCCCTAAGCCCTAAGCCCTAAACCCTAAACCCTAAACCCTAAACCCTAACCGCGAAATGGAGGGTTTGGGTAGAGGGTTTGGGACCCTAAAACCGCAGCCGCTCCTCATGCTTGCTCTTTGTGGTCCGATCATTCGGGTCCGCTCGTTGCTGCAAGAGCTCCCCGACAAGCCTTTCTAGGGTTTAGGGGCCTAAAAGGGCCATCCTGCCCGTGACATCTTCTTGCTGCTTTTGGGTTTTGGGTTTTGGGTTTTGGGCTTTTGGGTTTAGGGTTTAGGGTTTAGGGTTTAGGGTTTAGGGTTTAGGGTTTAGGGTTTAGGGTTTAGGGTTTAGGGTTTAGGACTACCAGAAGAAGAAGGAATCATAAATGCTAGAAGCTCTTGGAGCATTCAACAGACCTTCAACTCCTCAAACCCTCAGCCGGGTAGCAATGGACCGCCATCCATGGCGGCAAAGCACAGTGGCGACCAGCCAGCCTCATCCCGGTCGAAGCTGCCCCGGAAGCCATTCCTTGGGCTTTTAAGGGCCCTCAGCTTTACGCCCTATAAACCCTAAACCAGGTAAACCCTAAACCCCCTTAAGGGCGTTCGGCGGCTGTTGGTTTTGGGGCTTTGGGTTTAGGCTGTCCCTTGGGCTTTCGGCTTTGACATGCTTGACTTAAGAGGTTTACCGGTGTTTTTGGGGGTTTAGGGGCTTCGGCGACTTAGAGGTTTAGCGGTTGTTCAAGTTTAGGGCTGTGAGCTCTCAGGGCTTAGGCGCTTCTCCGCTTGAATTTGCATGTAGGGCCTCGGGTGCTCGGGCGTGGAGTGCTCAGGGGCCGGCAGAAGGCCCTCAACCCCAAGCCGGAAACCCCACGCCCTAGACTCAGAACCCTGCAACCCTTGCAATCCCTGCAACCCCTACTGCAACCCTACAGTAAACTCCAGAAAGTTGAACATGGTTTAAGGATGATTAGAGCTGGGATTCCGTTCAGTGCACCTTTTGGGATAAGGATGTTTCAACTTTTTGGAGTTTACTGCAAGCCTGACGTGGCATTCCGAGCAGGTTGGTGGGCCAGGGCTCTGATGAAGGAACCGAGCCAGCAAAAATGCCCCAGGGTCCTGGGGCTTTGGGGTTGCTGCTGCTTTTTGCAGCTTCTGTTGGGATGTTCCCCTTTATCCTACAGTCATTCAGAGGGATTCGAGTACCCCTATCAATCTTAAGGACTCTCAGTATAAGGGTGCACATCCCAAAGCTTCTGTGTTGTTGTTTCGGTTTTTGGGGCTTGGGGTTTGGGGGCTTTGAAGGGCTTACGGGCGCCAACTCCCCAAATAGCCCTACTGGGAGAAGCAAGCTTCCCGCTTTGGGTGCTTGTCGGATCTTTACCCTAAACATCCCTAAATTCCTAACATCCTGAACCCTAAATTCCTAAAATCCTAAACCCCAAATTCCTAAAATCCTAAACCCTAACTTCCTAAAATCCTAAACCCTAAGTTCCTAAAATCCTAAGCTAAATTCCTAACAAACTCCCTAAGCCCTCCCCCTTCAAGGCCTCAAGCCCTCAACCGCTTCGAAGTCCACGCTCGGTGCGAGCGGATGGGAATAGGCAGCCCCCCTTGTCTAGGGGTAGCTAAGCCTGAACCTGAACTACTATTTGCTTAAGAACCCCCCCAAACAACAAAAACATAATAACACATAGTCCCTATATTGCCCTTCTGACAGAAAATCGTTTTTTTAACTTTTGGGGCCCGTATGCAAATAGTAGAAAAAAGGGGTTGATCTACATTCTACATCATGACCCTTCTGATTCAATTGTCTGCAGAGGCCTCCCCGGGCCTGAAAACAAAATCCTAAACCCTTTTACCCTAAACCCAAGACCCTGTAAACCCTAAACCCTAAACCCAAGACCCCATCAACCCTAAACCCTAAACCCAAGACCCCTAAACCCTAAACCCAAGACCCCTAAACCCTAAATCCTAAACCCTAAACCCTAAACCCTAAACCCCTGGTCCTGTGTTGGATCAGAGTCCGTCACGAAGCCAGGAATCGCCAAGTCGGCGGCAAGCTGAGCCATTCGCACCGACTGCTGGCTCCTCGGGCTTCTCTAGGGTTTAGGGTTTAGGGTTTAGGGTTTAGGGTTTAGGGTTTAGGGTTTAGGGTTTAGGGTTTAGGGTTTAGGGTTTAGGGTTTAGGGTTTAGGGCTTAGGGTTTAGGGTTTAGGGTTTAGGGTTTGGGGTTTGGGGTTTAGGGTTTAGGGTTTAGGGCTTAGGATTTTAGGGGCTTTCGGGGGCTCTAGGGTTCTTCAGGCTTGGGGTTGGTTTAGGGTTTCTTGGGGCTTTCCGGGCTTACAGGGTTCATGATGGGCTTTCGGAATTTGCAGGGCCCACAGGCTTGTAGGGCTTGATGGGGTTCCAACATTGGAAGTATAAGGAGACTTAGGTTGACCAGCCCGCGCGGCGCGTGCGGCCGGCTCCTTGTGCCGTGCGCGCTCCGTGGTCCTAGTTGCCCTCCTCCTCTGCGCTTTCTCAGTTTAGGGTTTAGAGTTTAGGGTTTAGGGTTTAGGGTTTAGGGTTGAGGGTTGAGGGTTTAGGGTTTAGGGTGCCGGAGCTGTCCCCTCTCTGGCGCGCTCCCGGCACGGTTCTGTGCACGTTTCTGGCGAAGCGTCGCCGGCTCCGAATCGTGTTGCCGCCTCCGTGCGCATGCCTGGGTCTGGTATGCTCTTTGGGCCCAGGATCCTGCTCCCGTGGTGCCGCCATCGTGCTCTTTCACCGTTTGGGGCTTCTTTAAGGATGCCTGCACTTGCTAACTTTACGACGAAGACTTGCGACCGTGCTTCAGAAGGAAACGGTAGCTGTGCAGGTCCCCCTGTGACAGGAGATACAGCAGCTTGGCCCAGACCATCTGCACGACGATGCTGCTGACGGCAGCGCGGTCCTCCTCCAGCGTAAAGTGCCCCTCTCCCACCGAATACCTGGGCGGCGGTACTAACGAGCTGAGAAAGCAGCAACAACAGGCCCATGAGAGGAGCCTCCTCTACTCATAAGAAGGCACTACATTGCAGAACGAACCCCTTGAAAGGGACCCTAAAACCTAAACCCTAAACCCTAAACTCCCAATAAGGGCACCCCTGAAACCCCCATGTATCGTCTGTGGCGCAAGAAGGATGAAAACTTCGGAAGCAAGATCTGGTGCGTGGCGCTCTCCACCACGATCGCGCGGCCGTCCGCGCAGCTCAGCTCGTGCGCCATGCGCTCTGCTCTGCACCAGCCCCTCCAAGATCAGTTTAGGGATTAAGGGATTTAGGGATTTAGGGATTTAGGGATTTAGGGATTTAGGGATTTAGGGATTTAGGGATTTAGGGATTTAGGGATTTAGGGATTTAGGGATTTAGGGATTTAGGGATTTAGGGATTTAGGGATTTAGGGATTTAGGGATACTGAATAAAACGTCACCCTGCTCCGCAATCGGGCAATTAAAACGCCAGACCGGCGATGAATGCAAATCGCATTAGTACGCGCCAGCTGTCACAGGGATTAGCTATTTGGAGGTTCGTGGGTAGTTATAGGTAGGGTTATGAATTATGGTATCTAGAATATACCTATAACCCTATTTAGGGTACTTCTAACCCTGCTTACACTTACCCGTGAACCTCCAAGTTTGCAGATGAAAGGAGTTGTTCTAAATTCAAATCGGCCCCAGCGCAAAAGGCATTAGAAGCTCCCATGGACACCCTCTGCCTGTAATCCTCTCCACCCTAAACCCTAAACCCAAACCCTACACCTTAAACCCTTAACCTTGAACCCTAAACCCTAAACTCTAAACCCTAAACCCTTCGAATTAGGATGCACTTCAAGGGCCCTGTTGTTTGCAAGGGCTTGCTTTTTTCATAATATTGATTCAATGGGAGTTTACCAACACAAGGGACCAAGAATATAGTTAGTAGGATCCCTTATAATAAGGACCGCAATAGGGCACCCCCAATGCGCAAAGCCACATAAGAATGTATTGCTAGACTCATGTTGTCTCAGGTTAGGATCCCAATCGGGAAAAGAGGTGTAGTGCCAGCGAGCACTTCTGAGGTTGCGAAGGTTGTCTTACTCATACCCTAACCCCTAAACCCTAAACCCTAAACCCAAAACCCAAAACCCAAACCCCAAACCCCAAACCCTAAACCCTACACATCTCTACACCCCAACCCCATGCCTTGCAGCCCAGGTCGTCTGGCTCAGAATCACCCTCTGCTGCCTAGATTGCGGGGGCGCGCTGAACTTCTGGGCATGTGGCAGGCTTCTCTACATGCTCCTGTTGGGGAGCGCAAAGCCCTAAACCGACACCCCAGGTGGGGTTAGGGTTTAGGGTTTCGGGTTTAGGGTTTAGGGTTTAGGGTTTAGGGTTTAGGGTTTAGGGTTTAGGGTTTAGGGTTTAGGGTTATAAGGAATAGGGTTTGGGTGAAGGTTTTGGGTTTAGAGGTGGTGGGGTAGACCATGGGAGGGCGAGGGTATACTGACACGCGACACGCCGCCCCAAATGAAGACCTCTTGTGGCTTCGGGTTTTAAGGTTTAGGGTTTGGTTTCCGTAATGCTTCCACCACCCCAGACATGATTGAAAATTGAGGTTCTATTGAGCTGGGCAGAAGAGCAAGTCGGCCCGAGAACACCTCACACCTCCACGCCCTTCACCGCGGTTTTGAGTTTACGTTTAGGGCTTGCGGACTAATCATCGCGGCCGTAAACCCTCCTTCTGCGGCACTGGTCTACTCACATAGATTTGGGCTCGTCTTGGGAATCCATTTTCGGCTGCCGACCTCGTGTCCACTCACATGGGGCGTGTCCTCTTGGTTGTTCTTGCTGTTACGCGGCTATGTGGTTTTCATTCAGGTACTGTACTTTAGTATGCTATGATATTTCTCATTATCATTCTGACGATTGTAAGGTTATCAATGGGTAAGTCTTCCACTGAGGGGCTGGTGCTCCAGCGCCGGGCACAAGACGATGAAGAACTCACTGCGAGCCACGTAGGCGTGGATGCTGTTGATTGCAGACGATCGGTGTTGCATGTGGCCCTGTGGACAGGAGAAGTAGTCGTACCAAATGAACAGAGGCCTCGCGCCAAGTTCAGAAGCTGTCGGGGCCGCCACACTTCCGGTCAAAATCTCGACCACCGGTAGGACGGTAATCCGACTCTGACCAGACAGCATGTTGGCGAGCGCAGTCTGTAAGACCTTCAGCTGCTGCCCAGTTGGATCAGGATGCCGATCAGAAAGCCACTGGTGAGACACAAATGCCGCATTCCCCAGGGTCTTGTCAAACTCACAAAGGTCGCTCCGAAGCTCCTCGTGTGTCTTCACGCAGGACAGCATCATGAAGACCTCTCGAGTGGAAACACTTGTGACAAAGCCTTGCAGAACAGACTCAGACAAAAGCAGATCCGGCCTCAAGCGGCAAAGTGTACCTGAGGCAGGTCATCGTGGCACAAAACTCTCTCATCACAAGTCCACTCAAGATTGGCGACACAATTCGACCACAGCGCCAAGGTGCATAGGGAACGCTGGTTCGCAGGCATCGTGCAAAGGCCGAACGCTCTGCGACAACGTTGCGGCGAACTGCTCCAGAGCAGTGGGAGACTTCGTTCGCCATATGTGTGGGCACAAGCCTGCATTGGTATTGAGGCTTTCCAAGGTGACCCTCTAAGCACCATTACGTGAAGCAGCTGTGAGGATGCCAGCACCAGACTCTGCAACAAAGCGTGCACTGGAACCCTCTTGAAGAGTAAGGAATGACGTCGTACAATGAACCCCCATACGCATAGCCCCCAGCCTGGCGCAGCTGGCATGTCGCGGGACTCTATTCAACTCAGGAGCCGGGGCAGATACATTAGGATGCTGCATCATCGACTGCTGCCTGAGGGCTCTGACTTCAGGCCCCCTTCCATTCTCTGTAGCGACTGCAACGAACTCAAGGACCCTGTTTAGAGAACACACACACACACACACACACTCCCCCTCCCACTCCTCCTCCCCCCACACAACTGCAGCTGCTGCGCCGCTGAACACGGGGTGCCACAAAGAGTCGACCCCTCCTTTTGTGCACCGCGAGCGCATGAATTCACGTCGAATCGAGCACGGCCGCGTCACATTTTGACTGCAGACCTGCGCATGGCCCAGCAGAGCAGCAGAGAGCGAGGGCATATGCCTCTTGTTTTCTATTGCTCTTGCCATTACTGCTAGTACCGCCAGTCTTGCTACTCTTGGTTCTCTTGTTGCCTTTTTTGTTCGCCTTGGCGTTTGGGTTTGGGGCCTTGGGCCTTGATGCTTCAGAGACTTGCAAGCTCCCACAGCCATCCCTCGGTGTGGGGGTTGTTACCGGTCTCTTGGCCTGGGCCTCCCGTGCCACCGAGTGATTATAGGGGTCGGAATTACTACCAATCATACTCCCTTAGGGACCCTTTAGAATTAGACGATAAGATCCCCCAACACCCTGTACTTAAGGCTCCTACAGTACAGTATCCCTGGAGTGCCCACCTGCAGAGAAGCGCCAAGTATCCGCGGAGTGCCCACCCACAGAGAATCCCCGTGTCCCGCCGAGTAACCCTGAGAATCCCGCTGAGCATCCTGAGGAGCATAACAACCCCACACTGGCGACTAGCAACAATAACGCTGCTCATCTACCATAACGCGAAGGATCTAGGTCCAAGGACCAGATGCTGTAGCTACGAGTAAGGGCCGAGACACTTTGACAAAGACCCACGGTTCCGACTCACACAAAGGTTTGTCATCGAAATGAAATCGGATGCTCCGTAAAGACTGTTACATTCGCTGAACGACTTCACCCCATGTAACAAGCATCTGCCACACTAAGATCCGGAGTTGGGGTTCAGTTGCTTTAGGGTTGGGGGCTCAACCCTGAACCGCGCAGCCCCAAACCCTAAACCCTCCCTAAACCCTCCCTCAACCCTCAACCCTAAACCCTAAAACCCTCAACCCTCAACCCTACACCCTCAACCCTAAACCCTCCCTCAACCCTCAACCCTAAACCCTCAACCCTAAACCCTAAACCCTAAACCCTGAACCCTAAACCCTAAACCCTAAACCCTAAACCCCAAATCCTGGGGCCTCTCGGCCTCTCGGAGAGCCTGTTGCTCTCCTGCGAGGATTTCGGGTGGCCTCGGCGAGCTCAGGGCCCGATGGGTTTAGGGTTTAGGGTTTAGGGTTTAGGGTTTAGGGTTTAGGGTTTAGGGTTTAGGGTTTAGGGTTTAGGGTTTAGGGTTTAGGGTTTAGGGTTTACTGTTTAGGGTTTAGGGTTTAGGGTTTAGGGTTTAGGGTTTAGGGTTAGGGTTTAGGGTTTAGGGTTTAGGGTTTAGGGTTTAGGGTTTAGGGTTTAGGGTTTAGGGTTTAGGGTTTAGGGTTTACTGTTTAGGGTTGAGGGTTGAGGGTTTAGGATTTCGGGTCCCTCAGTATGGGCCCTTAAATCCTATATCTTGGGGTGTTCCCCTTATATTAACAGTCCTTACAGGGATTATGATAAGGGGTACTAAAATCCCTACTAAGCACTGCTAGTATGAGGGGGAACATCCCACCCTTTTCATGAAGTTTCTTTGAAGGCAAGCTTTCTCTCTCAAGAGAGAGTCAGAGTTTTAAGCCAAGAGGGAGGCTGTTTGCCTTTGAAAATTAAGCAAACTAGGTCGTGAAAAGGTCACGGGCATCCTGATGCTACTGAAAAAAAAACCTTGGTACCCCTGAAAGGCCCCATAGAAAGCTCCTTGGAAGGCTTCAGCTTGCGGGAGGCTGGAAAGACCACTGAACAGTTTTTCGGAGCCCTAGAACCTTAAACTCGAGCTGTTTGTTAACAACACGACCCCCCCCCCCACCATGAAGCAAAACTAGGTCGTGAAAAGGCAAGGGCGCCTGACCAACATCAAAATGGGGTTCCGAATAAGTCCTCCAGAGCCCGCGCTAAACCCTAAGTCCCTCCACCACCCCAAACCCTAAACCCTAAACCCAAAACCCCGAAACCCCTAAAACCCTAAACCCCTAAACCCTAAACCCTAAACCCCAAACCCCAAACCCTAAACCCTAAACCCTGGGATCCGCGCTTCGTGTAGGAGATGATGAGCGTGCTGTGCCTCGGGTTGAGACTGGGTTGCCCAGTATCCTAGGATTAAAAAGGGTGCCCTTTTTTACTTGAAGGGGTTTATAAGGGAACCTAAAACCCTAAACCCTAAACCCTAAACCCTAAACCCTAAACCCTAAACCCTAAACCCTAAACCCTAAACCCTAAACCCTAAACCCTAAACCCAAAAAAGGGTAGGACTGGGCATCCTAGGGGAGTTCCGAGATTTCTTGTGGGCTCGGGTCGAGATCCCGAAACACTCAACTCCGAAGGGCGGTAAGCAGCTGTGGGGTTTAGGGTTTAGGGTTTAGGGTTTGGGGTTTAGGGTTTAGGGTTTAGGGTTGAGGGTTGAGGGTTGAGGGTTGAGGGTTTAGGGTTGAAGGTTTAGGGTTTAGGGTTTAGGGTTTAGGGTTTAGGGTTTAGGGTTTAGGGTTTAGGGTTTAGGGTAAGAGTTGGGCCGAGGAGGGGAGGGTAACGGGGCTTAATAAGGCTAGTGTTGGGAGGGGGAAGGTTCCCGAAACCTGGAAACTCAGTCTGGTCTGACCCTAAACCCTAAACCCTAGACCCTCAACCCTCCCAAAAATCAGGTCCCTGGCTGGTGCTTCCAGGATAAGAGCTCATCCTGAACATGGGCTCAGGGCGCGAGGTTCATGGGTACTTCTACCCCCAGGCTTTAGGGTGGTTTTTGGGATTTTAGGGTTTAGGGTTTAGGGTTTCGGGTTTCGCGTTTAGGGTCTGGGGTTTGGGGTTTAGGGTTTATATAGACCTATAACCCCACTTATAAGTCTACTTATCATCTACTTAGGGGACTTAGGGGGTTTATAAGTTATTGGGGTTATAAGTGCCCATGAACCTCCAAGTATGAACCTCCAAGTACGTCGCAGGCGCGAAGGGCGAGGGCTTGTTTTAGGAACCTTACAGGTTTCAGCAGCTCGCATCCAGTCCTTTTGTGGATTTCGGGCTTGGGCTTTGAGAGAGGAGCCGGACCGTTCCGATGCGTTCATTGGGCGCAGGCGTGATGAAGAGTTTAGCATCACATGAGCACTGAATGCTTTCAGAATTTGGGTCTCTGGGTTCAGGCTTTCGTGCGCAAGATCCCCCTTAAACCCCCAAGATCTCGCCAAACCCTCAAGATCCCCTTCAAACCCCCAAGATCGCCTCAAACCCCCAAGATCCCCCTTAAACCTCCAAGATCTCCTTAAACCCCCAAGATCCCCTTGAACCCTCAAGGTCCCTCCCAACCCGACCTCCCCCACAACAACCGAATCTCGCAACCCCTTGCGTCCCTCTTTGGGGTAGATTTTTGGATGTATATCAGTCAGGGGGGCCCCAAGACTAAAACCGACCCTACAGCCTTGAACTTCAGGTCGTGCCGTGGCAGGTCCGGGACCTGGATCCTCCATGGTGAGGGTTTGCGGGGTTGTAGGGGTGATTGTTTTCTTGTTCTGCTGCTTACGAAGATTTCTAGGGGGCTTGCATAGGGCTTGCAGGGTTGCAGGGTTGCAGGGTTGCAGGGGTTCTAAGGGCTACGGGGTGTATAGGGTTTATATACACGGTACGTAGGCGCTTTGTGAGCATGCGTTAGTTAGTCGGCAGACCTACCCCAAGACTGTCCACTTGCAACTCCCAGATGTACTTGTAGCTGCTGAAACGTCGCACTCCACATCCACAAGGCTTGCATACAGGCACGCGGTCCGTGGCAGATTTCGTTTTGCAACAAGGGTCGTCACAACAATGCGTGAAAGCCTGCGTTATGATTGCTTTGAAAGGCGTGTTTGGGTGGGCCTACGTGATGGCGTTTTGCTGCATCCAAGGTCGGCTGCGTGCGCCGTCGTTTCCATAGGTCGGTTTGTATTGGGTGGCGGCTAGTAGCCTCTCCTCACTCCCCCAGCGTCACCAGCGCATGCCAGCTCGCAAATCCTGCCTGTAAATGTAATATTTGCGAGCGTTGTCCTCGAGCGGGACGCCAGGCACAGGAAGAACTCTTTGTTTTTACCAGGCAGGCTGGGCTTGCGGTCTTAGAACTATGGTGCGGCAACGGTTGCTGACGCGGCTGATTTTCTCGTGCCTGCGGGGCTCCCTTGCAGGGTCTCGGAGGGCGGTCGACCACCATCCGCCCCCAAAAGTTAAGTGAGCTAGGTGGTGAGTTAGGGTTGGTCTAGGGCTAACGTTGAGGGTGGCCCTACACCCCTGAGCCTAAGATCTGAATTGAAGGTGGCGCTTCAAGGGAATGTTGAGGGGGAAGCGCTTCCCAATCCAGGACTTGCCAATGGTGGCGGCCTCTTGTAGTACTTCTTGTTGGACGTCCTGACCACAATCTCCTGCTTGTCATGGTCCACCTGCGACCGACATGCGGCTAGGGCCCAACCCTAAAGCACCAAGCCCTGAAGCCGCCCTAAACCCTAAACCCTAAACCCTAAACCCCTAAATGAGCTGCGCCACCGACACGCTGTACACGTCGGCCGGGTACGGGAGGTTGCGTATGCGCCACTGAAAGTGCTCCGGCCTCGTGGGGATTCAGGGCTCAGGGCTTCAGAGCTTCAGCCCTAAACCCCAAGCCCCTAAACCCTAAACCCTAAACCCTGAACCCTAAGCCCTAAGCCCCAAACCGAAAAACCCCCAAACCCAAAACCCAGTAGGGCGGCTCAGCCTCCAGGAGGTTTGGAAACATGGTCTTCCGGGAGCCCATATAGGTTCTTTGTGGGTTCCCAAACTCGAGAACCTGCTAAAGCCCCAGAGATCGTGTGGGCCAAGACCACAATGACTCAATGGAAGTCTAGGGTACCCAAAAAGAGAGCGTAAACTTGCTAGAGGGCTCTGACATACTCTGCAACCTCAAATGCTGCACCCCCTAAACCCTGCTTCCGCAATCTTAAGCCCGAAGTCCCGAAGACCCCTAAAGCCCCTAAGCCCCGAAGCCTACATGCCCTGCTTCAGGGGCCGCCACGTGTCCTTGCGAAGGAACAGGGGGTTGCTCCTTGGCACGTTCGTGGTCAGGGTTTCGGCTTTGGGGCTTAAGGATTTTGTGGCGGCGCTTTGGGGCCGTGGGCCCTAGAACCGACGATAAACCCCAATTAAACCCTGACCCCTACATCCTACACCCTAAGCCCTAAGCCCTAAACCCTAAACCCTAAACCCTAAGTTTCCGGTTCATCCCCGCCCCAGGCACCCTGAGGCCCCAACGAGGACGCCCGCAGGGTGTCCGAGTATGGGTCGAAGGCGCCTTCTAATGCCTTTGAAGCTCAGGTTTAGGGTTTAGGGTTTAGGGTTTAGGGTTTAGGGTTTAGGGTTTAGGGTTTAGGGTTTAGGGTTTAGGGTTTAGGGTTTAGGGTTTAGGGTTTAGGGTTTAGGGTTTAGGGTTTAGGGTTTAGGGTTTAGGGTTTAGGGTTTAGGGTTTAGGGTTTAGGGTTTAGGGTTTAGGGTTTAGGGTTTTGGTGGCTTAAGATTTATGAGGGTGTGTGTCGGAGAAGGGTTGCAGGCTTCCGGCGTAGCTCCATTGGCCACCGGTAAGGGTTGAGGGGTGTAGATTGGGATGTTCCCCCTTATGCTAACCGTCCTTAGGAGGGATTGTTTTAGGGGATACTATAACCCCGATTAGGGAGTATAATAGGTGATACAATAATCCCTATTAAGGACTGTTAGTATAATTAAGGGGGGACATCACAGGGTGAGCCCGGCAAAGCCAAACCAACCCAGAAAAGGTCCTGCCTGGCCCACCTCGAAGACCCACTCCCCCTCCTGCACTCAGGGTTCATGTGAGGGTTTAGGGTTTAGGGTTTAGGGTTTAGGGTTTAGGGTTTAGGGTTTAGGGTTTAGGGTTTAGGGTTTAGGGTTTAGGGTTTAGGGTTTAGGGTCTAGGGTTTAGGGTTTAGGGTTTAGGGTTTAGGGTTTGGAGCTTCTGGTGTAGGGTTTAAGGGTTCAGGGATCCGAGTTCAGGACGCTTTTTTGAAAAACAAAAAAAACCAAAAATCGAATAGACTACAATATGTATGCGGAAAGGGTCCGCTTGTGTGGAACTTACTTTGCGGGGTTCAGGGTGGGAATACCACCAGGAAGTGTGAGTTCGGGCAGCGTGGATCATCCACGCTGCTCTGTCGGAGCACCACACAGATAAAGATTGCATTACAAAAAGCCTCCTGACTCTTAAGAACCCTGAACCCTGCACCTGAACCCCTAAACCCAATAACCCGCCCCTTCAGCTCCTACACCCTGGAAAGGCCCTGAACCCTCAACCCTTCAACCCAAAAAAAAAGCAAAACCCCTCAAGCCCTCAACCCTAAAACCCTAAAACCCTAAAACCCTAAAACCCTAAAACCCTAAACCCTAAAACCCTAAAACCCTAAAACCCTAAAACCCTAAACCCTAAACCCTAAACCCTAAACCCTAAACCCTGAACCCTGAACCCTAAAACCCTAAACCCTAAGCCCTAAACCTTAACAAGGCTCCTTCCAAACCTTAACAAGGCTCCTTCCCCACCTTTGTCGGCTTCCGCACCCTGTGCTTCGAAAGGTGCGGTTCGAGGGGTCCAGGGGTCCAGGTAGGTTTAGGGCTTGGCGTTTAGGGTTTGGGGTTTGGGGTTTGGGGTTTGGGGTTTAGGGTTTAGGGCATAGGGTTTGGGGTTTGGGGTTTGGGGTTTTAGATTTGGGGGTTTGGGTTTTACAGACCCCCTTCTATCAGGGTTCTTTCAGGGACCCTCAGTGAGTAGGCTCCTATTATCGCCATGCCTCCCTTCATAACAAACAGGAAAACCCTAAACCCCAAACCCCAAACCTGAACGCTAAACTGCAAGCTGTGACCTGGTCTATATTCTAAGCATGCGATTTTGCTATCAAGTTTGTAGGATGCGGGTGGAGGTGGAGGGGGTTCTTCCACAATGAGGGTACCAATCTGGGGCCTCCTACGGGAAGCATTGGTTGAATGGTATTCTCGGCATTTTACGGGGCACCCCTGCCTTCGTGGACATGCCCATTTAGAGTTGGGTTTGAGGGTTCAGTTTTGTCTGGGGATCAGGATGCAGGGTCCAGGCCTGGGGGCGTCGGGTTGAGGGTTTAGGCTAAACCCTCCGCCCTACATGTCAATCTCCATGACCCAAGAATAAATCTCTAACCTCTGAACCCTCAGAGGTTAGAGGGGAGTCTGGCGCACGACTGTAATACCAATGGGAAGGACACTGGGCTTGGGAATTTCACGATCGGAACCACAAAAAGACTTGCTTACTCGCTCGCTCATGAGGACGAGAATCTCTGCAAAACCAGCCTTACCCATGAATGCAACCACAAGCTATTCTTCGATACTGACCACAAAGAACGCTCGTGCTCGTTCTTCCTGCTACACATACTACTGTCATTGCCAGAATACAAATAACTCTAACACTAGGCCCCTAAAACCCTAAAACCCTAAAACCCTAGAACCCTGAAATCCTAAAACCCTAAAACCCGAAAACCCTAAAACCCTAAGACCCTAACATTAAACCCTAAAACCCTAACATTAAACCCTAAAACCCTAACATTAAACCCAAAAAACCCAAACATTAACCCCTAAAACCCCAAAAAACCCTAAAACCCCATCTCTATGGCCCAGGCTTCCGAACCAGCAGCACATCCGTCTTCTCATCGTACTCCTCGACCATCTCCGCGCCATCCTGAGCAGCTCCCTCAAACCGACACAAGACATGCACTGAAGCCTAGGTTTCCGTTTTAGGGTTTCCGTTTTAGGGTTTAGGGTTTAGGGTTTAGGGTTTAGGGTTTAGGGTTTAGGGTTTAGGGTTTAGGGTTTAGGGTTTAGGGTTTAGGGTTTAGGGTTCAGGGTTCAGGGTTCAGGGTTTAAGGTTTGGGGTTTGGGGTTTGGGGTTTAGGGGTTACGGGTTTCGGGTATTCAGGATGCACCCTATCCCATGCCTAGACCAATCAGAGCGGAGGGTGTGTTAGGGTCATTTGAGGGTTTAGGGTTTAGGGTCTAAGGTTTAGGGTTTAGGGTTTAGGGTTTAGGGTTGAGGGTTGAGGGTTTAGGGTTTAGGGTTTAGGGTTTAGGGCTTAGGGACTCCCAAGGCCCCCGGCCGGGTAGGTCGTGTGGATCTTCTTCCGGCCATCCGACCTGTGCGGCTCCGTCTGCGCATGTCGATGGGCTGAGGGCCTGGGGGGTTTCGGGTTTCGAGGGTGGGTGGAGGGCTTGAGGTGCGACGCTCAAGGTTCCTAAACCCTGAACCCTCGAGCCTTAGGATTCAGAGCATAGGGGGGGTTCACATGTCTTCAACCTCGGTCCTACGCAACCCCAGTTCCACGGGGCAAACTCCCGTCGATTTATCTCATGAACAGCCGCCAT